TCTTTGTTCCTGTTTTGTAAACAAAAACATCTTTAGCTATAAAACTTCCTGTGTTCAGTATTTATTGTGTAGCATTTTCCAAAACACGCTGCTGCTCCTGGCTTTGCCTTGTAAACTGTGGGAAAAGACACATTGATAATCCTCAGCTTCCTTATTTTTGCACTGCTTCCCAGTAAATCACATTTTGCTTCTTTGATTTTAGATTTTTTTTGCCAGCAATTGTAAGTGTTATTTTGGTATTTGTGAAACTTTGGAGATACCTGAATCACTTATGACTATACTGTATTAGAATCTTACGCAGATTGAGCAAAAAAAAATCTGACAGATCCCTCCATCCACATTTTACAGTGTGGACGGACGGATCTCCTGTTGCAGCTATTGTATTCTCACAGTGACTGTCAGGAACCCAGAACAGCAACTTGCATCTGATTGGACACATCTGCTGTTTGGCTGATGATTTTCTGCCCATGTCCTTTGACTTTTTTAATCAGGAAACAAGCCAAAATGTGCACAATGTATAGCCAACATTAGTAGTCTTCACTATAAGACAAACCAATACATAGCATGTCCACCTGTTTACTTTGAGTATGTGTTGAGCTTAATTTATAGAATTCTTCTTCACGTACAGAATAGAACATCTAAGGACTGCTGCAATCCCAAGACCAAGAATTGAATCCATTGCAGCAGTCCTTAGATGTGTTGGCTGCATTTGTTTTCCTCTTTTTAGTCTTTTTTTTTTTTTTTTCCCTGGTGATCTTGTCAGGTACATATTTCCTGTCCAATGGTTGCTCACTATATGTAGGAGCATCATTGTCACCCTAGGCTGTGTGCTCTGTATCTAGACTACAAAACCCTTCCTCTCCTCCTCCCCATAGTATAGGGGAAAGGTGTTCTGTAGTTCACATGTGAGGTGGGCAAAGATAACACTGTTCGCACAGTGATTTAGAAGCCCACTGAAATTCTTGCTGAATCAACTGGTATTTTTTTCCTTTATTAAAGAGATATAATAAAAGATTTTCAGTGGTATAGTTGACAGACCAAAAGGGAGCAAATAAGGGAAGTTAATTGCTAGAGTTTACATACACTTTAAAGTAAACACTGCCATTCCTGGCCGTCTTTTGAAAATACTACTTGCCTAGCAGAGTTTGGCATCATAGCACAGAATTTGTACAAACGTGCAGCAAATAGAAATTAGAGAGAAGTCTGAATTTCTTATCTCTACAGTGCTGACCTGCTGCATTTTCACGTAGCACACCACAGCGTTGTGGTGTGAACAGGGCACATAGAACACAAATAATTACTATGTGCTCTCTAGTGTTGATTCTCCATTGATCTGTGCAGATTAATGCATCTCAAAGCAAATGGTGAACACGAGCCCTAATGCAAAGTAAATACATGCAGGGATAACTCAGTAGTTAAAGCTCTCTCGTTAAGTGGCTTATAAGTATCCATCACTTAAATACAGAAGAACAGAACACACAGTCCTCACCGCATCTGTACATACAGCTGGTAAAAATAGATGAATGTTTTAAAGGGCTGCTATAGAAGATCAAATGCTGCACACCAAAGGTGGTACAGTGCAAGAGTAGAGAAGACCTCTATGATTAATCCCTATAGGAGGGTGAAATGCATCAGAGGAGCCTGTCCTGGGTGGATACTGGCCAAGCTGCTTCTCTACTCTTGCTCCGGACTGCCTTTGGTATTCAGTGTGCCACCTTCTATAGTAGACGTTTAATGCAGAACTGGGACAAGCTTTCTTTGGATGCCAGCACCCAACAGCCGGGAAGTCAACGGCTGATCTTAAAACCGGTTGCTTGGTGCAGCACCTTATAAGCATTCATTAGAGTCCCAGTGAATTTTTTAAAGGTTTTCCCCACGTAAAGTACAATACCACTGTGATGAACCAGATTCATCCCTACTGTCGTATGCCCCACACACACACACTATGGTTTTTTTTTTTTTTTTTTTTCGTTCAGCCCAACAGGATAAAGGAAAACAAACCGGACATACTGCTGTACTAACAACACTATGCGATTGTGTTGTGACAAGGAGATTTCCCCCCTCCCCCACCAGAACACACACCAGTCAGCGGTGTCAGCCATTGGCTGAGAGCGCTGATTGGAAGTCGATTGGCAGACCTTTTTCAGTCACGTCCCTTCTACAGAAGCCGGATAAATGTCTGGCTTCTCTTGGACTGGCTGCCGTACACATGGGCTGAATGTGGGGCCAGTTTCTGTTGAACCGGCCGATACCGCCCAATATTCAGCCTGTGTGTACAGGGCTTTGAGCCAATATGTGTTAGTGCCATATAAGTCATCACAGGAAAACAGGCAGAGGAGGAGAGCCAGCCACTAGGACACCATGTTATAAACGCAGACACTGCTGGGAAGCAGGAACAGGATGAGGTTGGTCAGTAGCACATTGATGCTGTTCTTGTTCTGTAACAGACAAAGGTACTCCGCTGTAGGACACCACCTGGATTCTGCAGGATGCCGGGATTTTGTTCTTATCCTGGAACAGTCCCGTGGAATCCAAGACCATTGGGAGGTATGCAGAGACATCAACGATCTGTTCATAGTCAACTGCTGTACAACTTAGTAATCACATCTAGTACACAACTTTTGACTAGCTAATATGAGGTTTTGAAATATACAGTCATAATCTGTTGGATAACCCCTATGGAATAGTCAACGTTTTTCTCTGTTTTGTACAGAATTTCCTGCCTTTTTATTACATGTTCTGAAACAATATAAAGCCCTTTCTGTACCTTCAGCTTTCTCAGGATTAATAATTAATGTGAGACTGTAGTGTTTTATGTGAACAAGGGAGAGGCCACAAAAAAAAGGGGGTAAGAGCCAATCTGGAAGTCCTAATCACCAAAACGAGTTTATTAATTTACAAAAAAAAATAAACTCAAACATTTCTTGATTTATTTTCTTTGAGTTTTTCCTTTTAAGAGGTGATGATGATGGAGGAGACTCATGTAAGTACCAGAGTCACTGATTTGGCTGCTGGAAATTTATGTGCTGTGTGCTGCTGGAGTGAAGTTGGGCTCTCTTTGCATTGATTGCTTAATACCTTAGGGAGATATATTTATGTAAAAATTACATCCCTGGATCTGCGACACATCTCCAGTGCCTTGTAAGAAAACCCAGCTGTATTTTATTTAAATACCAACCATTTCCACTGATTGCTTTTCTTTCTGTATGTAACAATATGGTGCATCCATCTGACATTGGTCTCAGAGAACAGTAATATTGCTTTTTGAAGCAGAACTTCACTCTATGAACATTTACTATTTTTAATCCTTATGCTGCTAGTATTAGTAAATAGATAGGAAAGTATATCGTATTTACTTGTTTTAAACATTTATTATTTGTATATACATCTTCTACAATGATTTTTACTGCCTTGTCGTATGCTTCAACTAGGAGGATAAACTGACTTTCTCTGCAGTTACAGACTGTAGAAGGAATACAGTGAAGTTATCTCCCTAGTCTGCTGACTGGACAATGAAAAAGCAACAGCAGATTGATGAAATAATCTGCTTATGCTTTTTGCTGTCCTCCATGATATGTTCCTGGTCGGCATATTTGCCTTCTGAACACCCGATTGGCTTTTAGCCTTGCCACTCCCTCTCCTATTCAGAGTTCTGTAATAGAGAAGATTGCAACTGACATATACAAAGTCATATCCAAGTACTTACACTGGCTGCCCTTACATATAAATAAAGATTTAGTAAAAGCATAGTCTACCTTTTTGCAAACCTTTATAAATGTGCCCACATTATTGAACAAAACGTGCATTTTATAAAATGTTTGCATTATGGAACATTGCAACAATGCTGTGCATCGTTGGTGCAATGCACATTCTTCTACAGACTCTTGCCTCAGGTCCGTACAGAGGTATGGACCACCTGTTATGGGGCTGGAGGAAGTAAATGGTGGATCACAATTGTGGTGATGTCACCATACATGTGCTACATTGAAATCTGTGAGTCCCTCTGGTGACAAATGGGACTCGTAGTCTTTCCATTCACAGATAGTGGTAAATAACATATTTGTGTGGGAATTCGCAGCGCGTTCCCGTGCAACCTTGTGTGAACCAGCACTTATTTACTAAACGCTTAAAAACATCTGATAGTTTACATTAGAGAACTGGCAGGTTGCCAAAATTCTGTTCTCGTAGAAAAAGCTAAAATTTCTTTGCCTGTGTTGTGAATTCTGAAAATACATTTCTCATTTGTGTGTGTGTATTTATATACATACACTGTAAATGGCAATGCATTGAAGATTCTGTAGGATTTTGCAGCAATGTTGAAAAGTATAGACAGTATTTTTTCTGTTATGGCATTTAAATTGTTTATGATTGCAAGCATAGTAGGATTAAATATATCAGCGTAATGTAAAGAAATGATTCAGAACATCTCATTTTCAAGTAGAGATGATAACATATGTATGAGAAAAGTGTAAATATGCTTTATCTCTTGTGATAAGATTTTTTTTTTTCTGTCCCATAATAGTTTACTTAAACTAAGGATAAACAGTGTCTTGTAGCCCTGTCTAGTACATTTGCCATTGAATGTGCAAAACATTGATTACAGCACATAAGCAGATGTTGATTTTTGAAGATGAAGCCAAGTATTGTAAATTGTCTTTCTACCAAGACATTATTTTTTCAATTTGTACTGAAGTTAAACCTCTTTCTTTTTTTTTCTTTTTTTTATTAAACCGTGTTTTCTAAACAAATGAATCATATGTATTTCTTGTTTAACACATAGCAATCTGTTCACCCAGCACATTGCTGTCTATTCCACACACGCTCACTCTATAACGTTTTAAGCCTTGTACATTCTGACAACAACTTTAGAGCTCATACCTACCAGAAGTGACTGGAGACACATTAGCTATAGCAGTAGTTCACATTCAATTAATGAAAGACGAGTTTTTTGGCTACTTTGAAAGACTCGAGTCTTACCATTTCTATTTTCAATTGTGTAGATTTTCTATGCAAGGAATGCCCAAGAATTCATATAGTTGTGGAGCGTATCAGTGTGAAGGATATACCCAAGGAGCAAACATTTATGAGAAGGTGGCTACATGAGCGGTTTGAACTCAAAGACAGGTACGTGTGTAGAGACTCGTAGACCACTTCATTCATGAATTGCTTATTATACTAGGTTACTATATATTAGTACTAGCCATTGGAGTTGACCACTAATATGTCTTATTTTCCACCCTTCTAGGTAGAAAAAATCTTTCATTTTAAAATGGAAAATTTAGTATTTTTACCCTTTGTTTTGACCGGATCTGCAAAACAGGGGAATTGCAACTGCAATTTTGTACTAAAAATATATTACTTTTATTTGGAACGTTGCAGAAAAAACTAAATTAGTTGTACATCAGTGACCTGTGTTTCATTAGTTTTGTTTATCATGAAATAAGACTCCACTATCCTGACTATCCGGTTTAGTGAAGTGCCAAAACAGAAAAAAAAAATAAAGGTAATACATATCTTTGCTGCAGACATCAGTTCTAGGTGCACTCTCCAGTGATTAGTCACACAACCTTTTACATGCTCGAGTTTGGGTTTTATGATCTTTTTAGCTGAAAAAGAGGATCAGAGGCCACACAAGGCTATCTCTGTCACCAATGGCTTGTTTATGTTGTGGCTTGTTCAATAGCTTTCAAACTGCTTGCCTTTCCTGTACAAGCTGGTGATTTTTTTTCTTGGGAGAGTACATGTGATCAGCACAGGGTTATTCAGCACTGTCCAGACATAGGTTAGGGGTTCTACATCCTCATAGAGCAGAAAGAAAACTCCTACTACAATCTTTAACCAGTGCTCACCTGGACACTGGTAAAAGTCTCAGGACTGTTCTAACTGCTGATGATAAAAGATATATAGCAGTTTATATTTACTAAAATAATTGCACTTCCATGTTCTGTGTATTGTGGGAGACCAGATATAGTGAATGCAGGGTCCTGGGTTTCATAACACTTTAAAAACACCAACAATGGTAACTCCTATTTTTTATCCTGATAAGATTCCCTTTACATCTCCTCATCTCCTGTAGCTGAGCAGTCTCTTGGAGAGCACAGAGCAGAGTTGTGTGTTTTTTGTTTTTTTTTTTGTTTTATTTTAAAATTGTTGTTCTTGTCATGTGTTGAAAAATTAAGTCAGGACTTCAAAAACTCTGGCTGCTGACTTTTAATAGGAGACTCGCCTGTCCCAGGATCCAGCGCTGTCCTCACCTGGCCAGTTTCTTCACCAGGCTTTGGGCCCTGCCATACTAACTGTGGGCAGCCAGCTGTGACTGCTTGTGACTTTACAGCCGGCTGCCCACTGCGCATGTGTAAGCTGCACGTTGCTACTTGAATGGTCCTGCAGTCTTCAGGGACCTGTGACATGTCTCAGAAGCTTGCGGAGGGAAGAAAAGGGACTGAACTTCCACTTGGATCAATGAGGTGATCCAGCCAGAAGTGGGGAATCGGGTACCTGTCAAAACCAAATTGAATGGGGTGGGGGGGGAGCAGAACTTCCCCTTCTGGGTGAAATTCTGCTTTAAATAAAAAGACTTTTTGGGTCTGCATTTGTGTTTTCTTGAGTAGAATGGTGAAATTATGGGGGGGGGGGGGTCACATTACAGTAGGCTTTCTTTTAAGGAAATAAAATTGATGTGTTCTATAGCTAAGAAAATAGGATAGGCCTTTTCTTTTGTGCTGAAAAGGTACATAAAGCTTGGAATGCAACCTATGAAAGCTCCCAATATTCCATTAGCTGGCTCACAATGCAGAGCACATCACATCTCCATTATTGAGCAAAGCAAGGTCATAAATTAAAATATGTCCATGAATATTACAAAGTGTCTAAATCTAAAGCAGCAGCTTGTGTTTTATCTGCTAATACTAAAGTTCATGATACTGAGCTGAGCAAGCTCTATTCATAAGACCAATAGCACATCATGTATGGTCTGCAGCCCCCTCCTTTCTCATTTATAGATTCTGACAAAGATCACATTTTAATAGATTAGTTCAACTATTCCACATCATGAGGGTCATGAGATGTTACCCCTGTGGCTTCATTTCAGCAGTCCTCCCAGAGTGCTGATTACTCTTGGAACCTTTTGGCTAGTGCCACCAACTACCTTTTGTCTGGAAACTTCATGGTGACTTCTGTGAGTCCAACAAGACAATAGTGAGCACAATCTATGCATAGTGATGATGGTGCTTGCTGTAAATGGTTCTAAAACATGGGCCTAACATGTTCACATTTACCCCAAATGTCTGCTTGCCTAAACCGTAGACATAATTATTTACAGTTTCGATGATGAGGTATAATAAGCACCATCATTTTTGGTAAAATGTAGAGCTTGATATACCGTATTTTTCGCTCCATAAGACGCACCTGACCATAAGACGCACCTTGGTTTAGAGGCAGAAAACAAGAAAAAAAATATTCTGAACCAATGAACTGCAGACATAGTACAGGCGATGACCAGAGACTGCAGACATAGTACAGGCGATGACCAGAGACTGCGGACATAGTACAGGAGATGACCAGAGACTGCGGACATAGTACAGGAGATGACCAGAGACTGCGGACATAGTACAGGAGATGACCAGAGACTGCTGACCTTTGAGGAGGGAGGGGGAGCGGGTACCTGAATTTGACAGGTACCCGCTTCCACTTTCCGCGGAGTTGTCCTCCCTTTAGTGTGGGCACCCGGCTGACCAGAGACTGCTGACCTTTGAGGAGGGAGGGGGAGCGGGTACCTGAATTTGACAGGTACCCGCTTCCACTTCCGCGGAGTTGTCCTCCCTTTAGTGTGGGCACCCGGCTGACAGCCGGGTGCCCAGTGCGCATGCGCAAGAAGCGTTGCGCTTTGTGATTGGTCCGATGCCTTCTGGGATCTGTCACATGCGCACTGAGCGCCCGGCTGTCAAGCCGAGATCCTACACTAAAGAAGCCGGCGCGGAAAGACTGTGCAGCGCTGGACCGAGGAACAGGTAAGGTCCTGCTGCAGAGCTGAGCGGCCGGCCCAGTATTCTGACATGGCGGCGGTGGAAATACTGGACCGGCCGCTCCATAAGACGCACTGACATTTTCCCCCCTTTTTTGGAGGGAAAAAAGTGCGTCTTATGGAGCGAAAAATACAGTATGTTAGACAGAACTTTTAATACTTTGCCATATCAAAACTCCATATTCATTGCAAGGGCCATTCCATTGTGGTGTCATGGTGATTGTGTGAATCATCTTGTTGCTTTATATTTCAGCACATGTTTGAACAAGTTTAATATTTTGTCAGTTTTATATTTTCAGTTTAACATAACATAAAAAGAATAACTGTATTCATTACTTCTAGGTTACTGACGGAGTTTTATGAGGCTGCAGATCCAGAAAAGCGCAATAAGTTTCCTGGGGAAGGTCATACTGCCAAACTCAGCTTAAAAAAGACTGTGCCTTCTTTGTTACTTTTAACTGGTGTGACTGCTGGCATGTTGTGTACAGAAACTGGAAGGAAAGTTTATATCAACACATGGATATATGGAACTTTAATTGGCTGTCTATGGGTCAGTATAAAGGCCTGAACAGACTTGGTCTCAAATCAGCTGCACATCATACCAAAACTTTTTTTTTTTTTTTGTCCATAACAGAAGACATTGTAAATATTGCCTTATCCATGGTCATCTAGTAAAATGTAAGACTGATACCAGTGTGATACATGTCATGCAAATAATCTTGGTATTTGCTTACAGTTCAGTTTTTCCTAACTTTCAAGAAAGGGGTCACTTAGTACACTGATCCCAACTATATTTTATAGCCATGGAATACCCTTTTGTTATCTGCCAGTAGTGTGTACGTCACCCAAGCTAAGGGTCAGAGGTTACAAATCTGCTGCTGCCACACAGTTTGAATAATTAATAAATGTGCCAATGTTTTTAGAGCAAAATTTGCCAGGAACTGGTATTTATGGCTCCAGATTTTTTTTTTTTAAATAACCAGAACTAAATACACAAAATACAAAATCATCTGCAGTTTTGGTGCACAACCATCATTTAGCAAACATTGTTTTATTATGTTTCTGCAGCTAGACCATTAGAGAATCCTGAATCCAGCTGACTTTTGAAGATGCAGTTCACCTTTATGGTTTCTAACCTTTGACCTCAAATGATTTGTTTTACAAATGGAGCTTTATATTATCCAACTGTACACACTTTTCAGTCCTATGTATAGAACACCTATCCATCCTAAAGCCTTCCATTTTCTGGGACCTGGAAAATGAGGCTTTCTATGGTCAGCCTACATGTCCAGAAAGGCAGGGTTTCCGTATGGGGACCTCCAAAATGTCACACATCTAATCAGGAGTATGGGAATATTATATAGATATATTTGCAATTCACGTTTCTGTTAATCCAGCAGTTCTGCAAAGAAAATTGGGAAGTCTGCACTAAACCTTGCCTTATACCTGTAGAATTTAGTTCAAAGGATATCATGTTAATTTGGATTATTTAAGAGTTAAAGGGGACAATTGAACAATGAGTTTTGAACAGAGCAAGCAAAAAAATTAAAGGACAAGGATAATTTTTTGGATCTAATGGAAACTAATGAATTTCTAATAGTTGAATTTGCTACCGACAAAGAAAAATCATAATTAGTCTTGCACGCATCTTATCAGAGTTAATCCAGAATTATAACATTCGTTCTATGGAAATCTAGGCATTGATCTAGTACTTAAATGAAAAATCATTCAAAATTAGTCGAGTCCGCGAAGGCACCATTGAATGGTCGCACAAACAGTTTTTATACTTTCTTGATAGAACATAATGCTGCAGGTATAAGGACTGCTTTAGTGGTGGTCTGTGTGAAACACTGCACCACAATGGAACATGGAAACTTTTTAGTGCGTGTGTAATCCATATTTTCCCTGTCTGTACACAGAATAAAATTATAATCAGGAAAAAAAAAAAACTGTTGTGGTGCTAGATACTACAGGTTATAAAAGCATGTTTGTGTTCTCTGTGCTTCTTTTCTAATTGTGTTGCATGTTTCATTTTTGCATTTGTATGTTGCAGGTATTTATGTCAAATTACACATTGTAATCTTTTCCCTCCTTTTTGATGATAACGACAATGTTATAAAGGCTTATGGGACATCTGTTAAAATGCTGGTATGGTGCTATGCTATACTGCTGGCCAATGCACTGGAGAATTTATGTACTGATCCTCATGCTACATATGTGCCTTTTTAATTTATTTTTTATTTTCCTATCATGCTAGGCTCATTATATTCTGCATCTTTAAAATTGTATGTTCAGTTGAATTAATCATTTCATTTTTTAAGAGAAAGATAGGAGTATTCTATTTGTGTTTTAATTCTGTAAAATTAGTATATTGCAAACTTTTACATAGACATGAGCTGACCAGGGTATAAAAGGAAATAACTTGTCAGCTTTGCATGCAGAGGTCTTAAGTTTTATCCTGGTTTTTTATTTTTCTACTAAGTAGGCCCTTATTTATCTTTGCCTAAATTTGTAAAATGCATAGGCAATGCAAAATTGTGTCATCAGGAATGCACTTATTTCTGCACTCCTGTGACCAAGATTCGGCCGACAGTGGGTTAAGGCCCGCTGTCAGCTAACCTCACAGAGCCAGTTCCAGGCTCTGGAAGGATCCTGACTTTAAAGTCGGGATCCACCCAGATGCTTTACTGGCGGCTGACTAGGCCTCTTCGTACAACATTGAGAGCCTAAGCCAGCCTCTCCCAGCCCCCTCTACAGCCTGACTCTCCAGTGAGCACTGGAGGAGCAGAGCAGTGACTGTCAGCCACCTCTGTTTGCTTAATAAAGACCAAAAACTGAGTTCAGCGATCTTGTGATCGCACAGTTCTCTGTCTTAGAGCCTGTAGCATATTTATAAAACTGTGACCTTTTACAAGCATTCACTGGTGGTGAATCAATCACTGTCATTTCAAACACATAGACCTTGAAGATTTACCTGCATGAATGTCAGATTTACTGCTTCATTAATATTCCCCATGGAGTTTTTTTTTTAATGCGTCTTATTTCAGGCTCATTGATAGAACTTATTTTAACCTATAGTACATGTGTATGCCATATGTTTCCTGTGTATACACTCATAGGAGGAATATAATATGGGCAAAGCAATACCTTTAGTTGCTACCTTCTCAGCAGCACACATCTTTATCCTGCCAACTCTGTACATCCCCTGGCAGTGAAAAAAAGCTGTACTTCAGGGGGTGGAGCTGCAATTGAATCATTCCCCTTCCTTCTTAACTAAAAGTGCTAGCGTTTGGTAATTGGACTAGCACTTCCACATGGGGGGCACAAAGACAATCCTCAGCCCTGTGTAAGATCTGAGTCGGGCGATTTTTAAATTTACACAGGGTTTATTCACAAAGGTTGGACTTGAATTGGCTGAAAGATCGAGCTAAATCTTTTTTTTGTTCACTATAGTACCGTAAACGGCCATCCTAAATAGCAGAAGGCTAATTTGGTATCATAGAATTTGGGACAGGAGGACAATGAGGATGTACCCAATTTCACCATTCACTATGGAAAGACTGCTATCAGGCATATCACCAGTAAATGAGGGGGGGTGCTCTTTTAATGTTACACAGTGGGTCTTTTTTCATCTGATTGTGAGAGCTTATGTTATAAAATGGTACAACAGTGCTTTAGAAAGTAAAAAAATGATTTGTTTTTTTGGCCAAAGGTGAAAAATATTTTTGTATTTCATGAGCATGTAGGATTCCACACTCATATAGTGAAGGAAATAAGTATTTGATCCCCTGCTGATTTTTGAATGTTTGCCTACTCACAAAGAAAATGTTCAGTCTAAAAATCGAATGGTAGGTGTATTGTAACAGTGAGAGACAGAATAGCAACAAAAAATTCAAAAGAAATGCATGTCTAACAAATTATGCACTGATTTGCTTGTTCATGAGGGAAATAAGTATTTGATCCCCTTCACAAAGTATGACTTAGTACTTGGTGGCAAATCCTTTGTTGGCAGACGTTTCCTGTAGTTGGCCACCAGGTTTGCACACATCTCAGGAGGGATTTTGGCCCACTCTTGGCAGATCCTCTCCAGGTTATTAAGGTTTGGTGGCTGACGTTTGGCAGATCCTCTCCAAGTCATTAAGGATTGGTGGCTGACGTTTGTCAACTCGAACTTTCAGCTCCCTCCACAGATTTTCAATCGGATTAAGGTCTGGAGACTGGCTAGACCACTCCAGGACCTTAATGTGCTTCTTCTTGAGCCACTCCTTTGTTGCCTTAGCCATGTGTTTTGGGTCATTGTCATGCTGGAACACCCATCCATGGCCCATTTTCATTTGACGATACATTGCCCTGTCCATTGTCCCTTTGATGCTGTGCAGTTGTCCTGTCCCCTTAGCAGAAAACACCCCCAAAGCAGAATGTTTCCACCACTATGTTTGACAGTTGGGATGATGTTTTTGGGGTCATAGGCAGCATTCCTCCTCCTCCTTTCAACCAGTCGTCCTCTGCATCGTTCAGATGTTCAGTGGCAAACTTCAGATGGGCCTGAACATGTGCTTTCTTGAGCAGAGGGACCTTGTGGGCACTGCAGGATTTCAATCCTTGTCGGCGTAATGTGTTACCAATTGTTTTCTTGGTGACTGTGGTCTCGGCTGCCTGGAGATCATTGACAGGATCCTCACGTAGTTCTGGGATGATTCCTCACTGTTCTCATGATCATTGACACTCCACGAGGTGAGATCTTGCATGGTGCACCAGACGTAGGGAGACTGACAGTTGTTTTGTGTTTCTTCCATTTGCGAATGATTGCAGCAACTGTTGTCACCTTCTCACCAAGCTGCTTGGCGATAGTTTGGTAGCCCAGTCCAGTCTTGTGTAGGTCTACAATCTTGTCCCCGACATCCTTGGACAGCTCTTTGGTCTTTGCCATGGTGGACAGTTTGGAATCTGATTGTTTGATTGCTTCTGTGGACAGGTGTCTTTTATACAGGTAACAAAATGAGATTAGCAGCACTCCCTTTAAGAGACTGCTTTTAATCTCAGCTTGTTACCTTTATGAAAGACACCTGGTAGCCAGAAATCCTGCTGAATGATAGGGGACCAAATACTTTTCCCTCATGAACATCCAAATCAGTGCATCATTTGTTAGACATGCATTTCTTTTGAATTTATTGGTGCTATTCTGTCTCTCAGAATTACAATACACCTACCATTTGATTTTTAGACTGATTATTTCTTTGTGAGTGGGCAAACATTAAAAATCAGCAGGGGATAAAATACTTATTTCCTTCACTGTATGTCACAAAAAATGCTGCATTTCTGATGAGCATGGCCAGGCAGTTTGCCTATGTTCATTTAGGATTTTACACATTGTTACCATCACAGTTTATATGCTCCTTTTGATAAAGTGAATTTTGATTTCTAATTCATTATTTGAACCATCTATTTGACAAATTTGGTGGTATGTGGAAGCAAGATACACCGGTTCAGTTGCAAGTCCCATGATACACTGGAGCTTTCTTTTTGCTATATTTCCCATCCTTAATGGGTGCCAAAGGTCTTTCATAT